GGGTAGTATTGGGTAGTATTGGGTGGTATTGGGTAGTATTGGGTAATTAGACGCGCCGAGAGGAACGTGTGCAGTTCGTTGATTTGTTGATGTTTTCTGTGTAGACTGCAAAGATTATGGATGACGACAGTTCTGATGGCGATCTCATGCAACCTGCTCTTATAATCGATGGCGATGGAATCGGGGATGAGTTCAATCTCGATATACCTCCGACATCAGGCAGTGAATATCTCAAACGAGTTCGGTAAAACACTACATCGCACCACAGGGGTTCGTAACAAATGTCTGAAATACATATATGCTATATACTGGTATGTGTCGCAGCACACATAAACATATGTATGTTGTATGTATGTGTATGCTTATGTGTGCTGTGACCCATACCGGTATAGCATATGTGTATTTCAGACATTTGTAATGAACCCCTGTGAGCACACCAGTCTTCTCCTAAAATGTTAAAGTTCAACACGACAACATAATTTTGACAAGCGCCGTGTTGCAGTCGGCACAATCATGCCCGATAAAAATAGCCGACCAGCGGCCCATTGTGCTTTAGGAGTAAAATAAAATAAAATAAAGTAAAAATAATCTGGATCTGGATCCAGTGTCTAGTGACTGGTAACACGCCAACGTTAACCGCATATACAAAAAAGGAGACAAATACAACCCAACAAACTACAGACCAATATCACTCACATGCATCGCATGCAAACTCCTAGAACACATCATCACAAGCGCAACCATGAAACACTTAGAAGACAACAAAATACTGAACGACCTACAACATTGCTTCCGCACATCAAGATCTTGCGAAACACAACTCATTACATTCATACAAGACCTCGCACAGAACCACAACAACAACAAACAAACAGACATTATTATAATGGATTTTGCCAAAGCCTTCGACAAAGTCCCACACAAACACCTACAGTACAAACTAAATTATTACAGCATCACCGGAACCACATTAACATGGATAACAGACTTCCTATCACAATGCACCCAAACAGTATTACTTGAGGGCAAACACTCCGACAAAATCCCAGTAACATCTGGAGTGCCTCAAGGAACCTGTTTGGGACCAGTCCTCTTCCTCATATACATCAATGACTTCCCCAAATACATATGACACAGTACACTAAGACTTTTCGCAGACGACAGCATACTATATACAAAACAATCAACAACAAAGACGACACGACAAAACAACAAGCAGATTTAGATGCAGCTAGTAAATGGGAAGAGGACTGGCTCATGAAATTCCACCCAGACAAATGCACCATACTCACTATATCACCAAAACGCACACAAATTAAACACCAATACACACTCCATGACAACACACTAGAATATGTAACTTCAAACAAATATCTAGGCATCACACTCCAAAACAACTGAAAATGGGACAAACACATTAACAACATCACATCAAATGCAAATAAATCACTAGGCTTTCTGAAACGCAACCTAAAAATAAATTCACCACACATAAAAAAAACATGCATTCAAGGCCATTGTAAGACCAAAACTTGAATACTGCTCTTCAGTTTGGGACCCACATTATACAAATAACATGCATAAACCAATTAGAAAAAGTACAACGAAGAGCAGCAGGATATGTCCTAAACAAATACCATAACACAAGCTCAGTCACAGATATGATACACAACTTGCAATGGCCAACACTACACACACTCAGAACAAGAACAGGTATTATTCTTCTATACAAAATAATACACCAACAAGTAGCAATACACACTAACAATCTCATCCCGGCCGACACCAGAACACGTCAAGGACACGTCCGTAGTTACAGACATATCTACACATCCAAAGACATATACAGACACTCATTATTTCCATACACCTGACCATAATACAATGGACTCCTACCTAACAATAATAAGCCAATCAAATACACTAGCAGAATTCAGGACATGCACCACATACAACATAATCAAACATTTACAATACCTACAACATAACTAACACTCACTCACTGCTTTTAACCTGTTTTTATCCTATAGCAAATAACAAAAAAATCAAAAAAATCAAAAAAATCATCACTGTACATAATTAACGCACTTCAGCACAAGACCCACTTTCTTAATCGTCCGTATCGACGGAGGAAGCTAATAAGATGAAGATGAATATCTGTACGATGTAGGGCCTTCTCAGGCATAAGCACATCGGGAGAGATAGTGTTAGAGGCGCTTAGTCGTGCAGTTGTAGGGCTAACTTGAAACCCTTAAGTAACTCTGCACGCACAACGTTGTCTGGAAGCTGATTCCAGTCGATGGTATTTTTGGGAAAGAATGAGTTTTTATTGACAGGTGTATTAAAGTTTGTAGTTTTAAAGCACCTAGAGTTGTTGGTTTCCTGGCTATCTAATGAAGTTTTTTTCAACACAGTCTGTCAACCGTTTGGTTCTAATGTTCTGTTTCCGTCAGATTGGTTTTATATAGTCCTGACAGTGAAATAGCTGGCACCAGCCCCTCAACCACTTTATAAAATAACGCTAGTCTGTTCTGCTTCCTTTTCTCTTGAAGTGGAGACAGGCCCAGGTCCTGGAGCATCTGGGTGACACAACCTGATTCTTGGGAGGTGTAATCTCTACGCTCTAGCTGGTCGATGTCTTAATCTGGATTTCCATCAATCCAGCTACCACTAATCTGTTTGTACCACCATCCAGCTACCACTTAAATGTCACACAATTGTGGTTGTCTCACAGTCCAACTACTGCAGATTAGATTGTTTCATATTCTATTGCCACTCGTGATTGTCCCACCCATGATTGTTCCACCATTAGGCTTCCATATAATCTGGATTTCCAACAATCGAGCTACCACTGATTCCTTTTTACCACCATCCACCTACCACAAATCTGGTTGTCCCACAGTCCACTTATGTAAATCAATAATCCTATATCACTTACTTTTTTGTCCCACAATCTATTGTTACATAACCACTAATTGGTTGTCTAAGTAACTATCCATCAAGTGCTATAGGGGAGCAGATTGACATTCTGAATTCTGCTAGTGTATTTTAATGAATTATTCTTGTGGGTAGGAGGTTCCATTGTATTATGGCGTATGGAAATAATGAGTGTCTGTATATGTCTTTGGATGTGTAGATATGTCTGTAACTACGGTCGTGTCATTGAAGTGTTCTGTTGTCTGCCGGGATGAGATTGTTAGTGCGTATCTAGGGGATCGATCATACTACAAAGTTTGCTTAACATGGAATTGCACATTTGACACTAACGCCATCTATGACCTTATATAATATCTCTGCCCTTATATGGAATCTGATATCGTCTTATATGGATTTCATTCATTTACTTTTCACTCATATGCAAATGTTTTTGGCAGCTACCTCTAGCGTTTTCATTCATACCATAGTGAAGCCATTTTGTGGTTAGCCAACTAATCGGCAGAGAAAGCATTCACTTCAATACTTACTTAACTAGCCATATGTATGTGAAAAATACAACAATGCATGTATTTTGTAAGTATACAATTGATAAAAAATATTCTGATTAAATTTCTCAAGAAGCTCTGTTTGCTGAAATTGTTTTCACCACACTCTTCCCCGAAGCAGATGGTTTCCCCTGACCTACTTTGTGTAGTGTTCCTACCTAACTACAATACACAGTTCCCGTCACAATGTTAGGGTCACTAACGTTTTGCTTTATATCACAAAAATTACCACTGCAAATAAACCTGAAATTATACCGCTGACCACTTGAATATGACTATTCTTTCGGCAGAATTAAGAAACTCTCTCCAAAATATTCTGTCCATTTCAGTATAGTCACAGAAAAGATCGACATGACCAATACATTAACAAAAGAAAAGAACTGTAAAGCTAACCATGCTTTGATTACTTTAGCTACTCGTCAAACAGACTGGATGTGGCCGAAGGTCACCGCCGAAGGTCACCGCCGAAGGTCACCGCCGCGGTTTACCTGTATTTCTGCAAAACCTTATCTCCCTTAGTAGCTGAATAACCTGATCAGCCGGATTTTAATGAAGTCAGTCTATTTTTAGGGTCAAACCATATTTGTGAGCTAGTACAAAGCTTTAATCTCCCTCAGATGTAATATTAGACTAACCCAATCAGTCAGATTTTAGATGCTTTTGTGCCGCTTTTGTAACACAAGTCAAAATTAAAAGAAGTACTAGCAGAGACGTGTATTTTGTTATATATACGTCTTTGGTTATACACATAATATTTAGAAATATCCTCGATTTGTTCTGTAAATTGTCTCATCTCACATTTCTAGCCACTTTTACTAAGAACAATAAATCAACAATGGTTGGACTTTAGTAACTCGGCTGGTATATTCCCATATATATACTATATATATATAGAATCATAATTCCTGTGAATCGAGATAGTGATAGGCTTTAGAAACAGCTTTAAACAAAGTTCTTAATTTATCTTTTTTTATTGCTTTATTATTTTATCTAGACAAGAAGCCAAAGATTGTCCAAAAGTAGTAGTTGCTCAAGTGGATCAGGCCGGATTTCGTCAAACAGTTCTGCTAAATCAGGTAAGTCACATCTACACTAAACTCTATCCCGAGTTTCCTCTGACCCTGGCACCAGATATCTATCTACTGTACACTAAACTCTAGCCCGAGTTTCCTCTGACCCTGACACCAGACTTAGACATTTTGACAGAACACCAGACATCTATCTACATTAAACTGTAGCCCAAGTTTCCTCTGACCCTGACACCAGACATCTATCTACACTAAACTCTATCCCGAGTTTCCTCTGACCCTGACACCAGACATCTATCTACACTAAACTCTAGCCCGAGTTTCCTCTGACACCTGCATACTTGCCAATTAACTCTCCCGATTTGGTGTCCGGCCAGAGGAAACCCGGTCCAAGTATAACACTGTATACCTGGACATTTTCGCTGTAATTTAATTTTGCCTCTTTTGTTTTCCCTATTGAGGGGGAATTTATTATTACAGTGAATATTTGTTAACAACATAATATACATATAAATTAAATGTGAAGGGCAAATTTAACATTGGGCGCAAAATGGATTTTCTTGTCAAAAGGCAAGACTGGGTGATAATTTCCCGGTGTACAGTATTGGTTTGTCATGGCTGTGTGGTTCCATCTGTATCAAATCTGGTAGTCTCAGAGTCTCATGAAAAGGTTGTTTAGTATTGTACAATCTATTGCAATAGCTACTCATGCAAACTTCTTGGTCTGATCAGATTTTGGAGATCAAAGGTCAAGGTCAGATGCTTGTGAATATAATTTTGATGTAATATTGAGAAGACGGACATTGCCAAACCTAAATGACAGTGGAACTTCAAAAATCAAGCTATGTTCTCAGTGAATGTGTTGACTGGTATTCACTGCGAGATACCTGGATGACCTGACAATTTTGTACGGAAACAGGTCGATTTGTCCTCTAATTAAAGACTGACTGGACTGGGAAACAGGTCAATTTGTCCTCTAATTAAAGACAGACTGGACTGAGGAAACAGGTCAACTTGTCCTCTGAAAGACTGACTGGACTGAGGAAACAGGTCAATTTGTCCTCTAATTAAAGACAGACTGGATTGGGGTCACTGGTCGATTTGTCATCTAAAAGACTGATTGGACTGGGGTCACAGGTCAATTTGTCGAATAAAAGACTGACTGGACTGGGGAAACGGGTCAATTTGTCGTCTAAAAGACTGACTGGACTGGGGTCACAGGTCGATTTGTCATCTAAAAGACTGACTGGACTGGGGTCACAGGTCAATTTGTCGACTGAAAGACTGACTGGCCTAGGGAAACGGGTCAATTTGTCGACTAAAAGACTGACTTGACTGGGGTCACAGGTCGATTTGTCATCTAAAAGACTGACTGGACTGGGGTCACAGGTCAATTTGTTGACTGAAAGACTGACTGGCCTGGGGAAACGGGTCAATTTGTCGACTAAAAGACTGACTTGACTGGGGTCACAGGGCGATTTGTCGTCTAAAAGACTGGCTGGACTGGGGAATCAACAGGTTGGTGAAGTCTAGATGTATAAACTGAACTTCTGCATATGACATCCTGTATGATATTGAAGTGGAGACATACATAGATGTTTAATAAGTCCATTCTTATGTTACTTTACAGGTAACAAGCTGCCTCCCTGCTCCTAAAGGATTTTCTTTTGACCTAGCTTGGCAACGTACTCAGATTGCTAACTTTGCAGAACTGCGCCAGGTATAAGCACTCATTCGTCAGTAAAACTTGATCACTAAACCTATGTCAGCTTTTCTTTCAATGTCATGTGATTAAAGTAAACAGAACGAATCAATTTTACAACATGTGGATCAAATAGATATAACATATACATACATCATGTACTTTCAGTGCTCCAAATATACATTTTTACTTGTGGGTAATTGTAGGACACCTGTCAGAGGGGTAAAACAAACGTAAAATATATTGTTTATTCCCTTTGTCACCACATACAGATTCAAAATGAAAAAAAATACTGCCATTGATTCCTGCTTTTACACGTGGGGCTTTGACTTGCGAGAACAAATTCAAAAGCAATGCCAAAACTTAGGAGGTCACTGTTTTGTTTGCTGTCGGTCTTGTAATACATGACTTAGCAGTCACATATGACCCGGTCCCATTGAAGTGATATTGAGCGTGGCTATTGTTGAGTTTGCTTTATTGAGTCTGTAAATTCAGGAATCACATTTAAATACAAAGTTATATTCTTCACAAAACCTAAGACATACACATTAGGTAAAACATAAATTGATGTTCTCGCAAATAAGTGCTAAGTCACAAAAATCAAGTATCATGTGAAATATATAAGTAATCTACATGTATATGTGTGGCTGCTTCAGTTTCAGGAGGCAATAGAACAATTTTAATTTACCTACTGTTAACAGCTATGTTGAACAAGCTTTGAGTTTAACCCTTAATTCTTCTGTATTTTTGAATTTGCAGAACTTGGCAAGACAAAAGGCTCTCAGAAAAAAACAGCCACTCATTGAGCAAAAGAACTTGGTATGTTTGTTTCCATAGAATGTGTTTGTCTCATTTAGCTCACATGAGACGAATTCCCAGGATAACTGCCCTGGTAGATACAACAACATTCCTTATAAATATCTGGATAAAGAAAATTTGTTGTCGGTCTATTCTAACACATACTTTCAATTAAATACAGCAATGATGAAGTGTTTCTCTAAGATACATAATAGCTTTTCTTACATTGATATCATAGCAGTGTTGAATTGTTTTTAGCTCACCTGGTCCGAAGGACCATGGTGAGCTTATGCCATACCGCAGTGTCCGTCGCCCGTCCGTCCGTCCGTCAACTTTTCCTTTAAAACGCTACTAGTCCTGAACGGCCAAGCAGATTTTGACTAAACCTTTAAAATCCTTCTTCTACCATAGGGATTTAGGGATTTTATCCTAATTAAGATTGGAGCATCAATGGGCCAAGGGGACTGAATTTTGTATAAGCAGTGGGTGTGGTCTCCCAGTGGGCAGAAGGGCTGGGTCCAATAGGAGAAATAGAGGTGAAATATTTAAAATCCTTCTTCGACCATCGTGATTAAGGGATTTTATCCTTATTTAGTCTGGAGCATACTTTAGCCAAGGGGACTCAATTTGGTATAAACGGTTGGTATGACCCCCCTATGGGCATAGGGGTGGGGCTCAGTTTGAAATTTGTTATATCTCAAGTACTGGATGGATCTTTCTGAAATTTCATATGTACTTACAGTACCTACCATGGAGTGCTATATCTTTACTTCATACCAATTATTTTAAACATATTCAGGTGAGTGATACAGGCCCTCTGGGCCTCTTGTTCATTGGTAATTTTGTGTATGGCAGCCTGCTGGTAATGATGTGGAGGGTTGGTGTCGACTGTGCTTTGGGAGGCTGCAACCACCAGGTTCAAGGCCACAGGAAGTGGTACCAGAGGAGGTTGAAGATCAAACACACAAAGGAACTCTTCCTTTCCTCAGCATCGTCATGGCAATGGATCAGGTAAAGGATCACACATCTATTTCTTAAATGTTGAGCTTGATTTTGTGCTGTTCTTGCAATTTAGTTTAAAACTAGACTTTTGATATGGATATGGTAGGATATATTGTATGCCATTTACTGTTAATTTCTTTGTGTATAAACTTATTTATAGAATCATTACTTGAAAAAACTGTGAGATGTCTCATTTATATCTGAATTGCCTGAAATAAACTCTCAGTTATGTTTTTGACAAAATAATTAAAATTGATCATCAACGTTAACCTCTGTGTCAGTAATTAATTTGTACAGAGACTGGTCGGTATACATTTTATAAAATCCATCCTTGTCATCTCCAAGTAACAACTGCTTCACTTACTGTGCGGCGTGGTATTCTGCCATCTGCTTTGGTTTTCACCCAAGATTTGATAAATTTGTTTTGAATACAAGTTTGAAATGACATTTTATAAACTAAATTGTAAGCTCTGGATATCCGTTGTTACAAAATTGCTCATTCACATTACAATCTGCACTTTCAAGAAGAATAGGTTGTTGAAAGTCTACAGAAATTTGTTGCAGTATTATTAAAAAAAAAAAATCATCAAATAGGACTAAAACAGATTATTTGGTTTCAGTCAGTACTGGTGAAGGTTCTGGAGTATCATGTCAACTGGTTTGAGGCCACTGGCTTTACAGAAAGACAGGTTTGTATTTGTGGATTGAGACTATTGTCATATTGATATTCACACATGACAACACATGCTCAAATAGATATTTGTTGCTTGAAAATTGTGTTTATAACTATATCCATGTAGCCAATACATATGTCCACTACTGACTGATTAGAAAAGACACATGTATTTACTATTAATGTATTGACTGACATGACCAACAGTTTTTTGATGTCACTTTTCTGTAAATCGACCTTTGTTTCGCAGTGTTTTTAGATGAAAGGGCCAAGTGAGCTTATGTCCTTGAATATGGTAAAGGTGATTTGAACTTTTAAGTTTTCTGGAGCACTCTTGGGTTAAGGAGACTCAACATTATTATTTAAATGGAGGATACGATCGACCCCCATGGGGCAGATATCTGGGGTCAAATAGGGGAAATAAAGAACTTTAAAACCCTAGTTCTTCAGTACAAGCTACACATAGGTGAGTATAACACACTTTTGTGCCAATGTCCAGCAACTTTTTGCCCACGGGCCACAACATTATATAAAAGAAAGGTGTTTTTGAAAAGTTTACAGTTTTAACGGAAAAGCTCAAATGAAAGTATCAAGATAGGACTACAATCAGAGAAGGTCATAATAGGGGACATGTTTGATTTGCAGTTCTTTGATTGGTTTTGATAACTTTTTGTGTGTTACAGGGTTGCTGGTTCTATGCCCTGTTAGCCTGGCTACAGAAACCTCTGATACCTGAAGCCTGCTCCCTCTTACGGTCACTGGCTAGAGGGGCAGCAAATCTCAGAGCTACTCTGGTGAGTCTTACAACACTGAAAAATCTTAAGTCAATCCATATAAAATTGCCCTGTACTTCTTCCCTCTAAGTAATTTTTTTTTGACAAAGTATCTTGGCATATGTAATATCTATAACAAATACATTTTTTCTGTTATCAGGACTCCGTAGATAATCCCCACCTGGTGCCTCTAAACCTGTTCATCTGTTTAGTGTCTCGCTACTTTGACCAATCTGATCTAGCTGACACCGGATCCTGACACCGACAAGAAATTGTAGACTAAGTCAACTTCTTGTTCAAGCCCACACAAAGATGTCATTCTTCCTACTACCGAGGCATCAAAAGTGAGGGAGGAATGTAAATTTCAGAATCATGTCAGTTCAGACTTCTTGAATTTGTGCCTCAGGCTTAGCAAGCTCATCTGAACTGGAGATTCAAATTTATCTTTAAGAATAGATTACAAAACTGTTATGAAATACAGCCACTTGCCACTGTAAATCTGGTTGTAAAAGAATGTTTCATAAACTAATGATGTTTGTCAGTTAGTAGTTTGAACTTGAAAAACATTAATTTCATCAGACAGAATTTATTACCATACTGCAAGAAACTGGAAAGATTACATATACTAACTTGACTACAGAGGATATCAAGACATTTTCTATAAGGACACCATCTTCCTGATGTGTATGTGGTGTTTTAAACAATGCAGCTTGTTATTAAGTCATCAAGTATTTTTAGAATGAGAGGTGCGATCATATGTAGGTATGTGGACTTTTTAATACTTGTATGTGTGTAGTTTGAAAGTTCGGAGGGTCCCGGGTTCAAACCCCCGGTTTGGTCGTGCATTTTTTCAGCTCCTTCTACACATGTACATGCTGTCGCTTGTGATAGAACAAGAGAATCCAGACGCTCTACTGCTGAGCTATATGGAAATTTCCTGTAGCAAACTTCAGCAAGGAGATTTTGACACTATGTGTTATGCACAAGATTTACAAATTTGTGATGCCAGAGAATATATGTGAAGAGTATGGAAATATGTGGTTGTGAATGTATATATGGAGTCTGTGAATGTATGAAGTTTGTGAATGTATACATGTATATGGAGTTTGTGAATGTATGCATATGGAGTTTGTGAATGTATACATGTATATATGGAGTCTATGAATGTATGGAGTTTGTGAATGTATACATGTATATGGAGTCTGTGAATGTATGTATGGAGTTTGTGAATGTATGGAGTTTGTGAATGTATATATGTAGTCTGTGAATTCACCCAGGCATGGGTTCAGTTTGTGAGTGTAAAGTTTGGAAAGATATGTGTGATTGTAAACGGTATATGTGCGTGATTGTAAACGGTATATGTGCGTGATTGTAAACGTGTCATGTCACGGCACTGTGTTGTATCTCTTAACAAGATACTTTACTCCGCTTGTTTCAGTCTACTCAGCTGTAAATAGGTACATGGTTGGGCAGTGCTGGAATTGTTGAATGCTATCCGTGACCGCCTATATGGTAGTACTGGCTATATGCTCCCCAGAGAGTTGAGAAAGATATTGGCTGGTTGCAAAGGCACTGTAACCACGGATAATAATTTGTGACACGCTTTGAGACGACCTACAACTTAGGTTGTGATAAAGTGGTATATAACCACCTCAAATTATTATTACTCATATTATTTTTATTTGGGCTGTCACATGTGTATATTGCTGCCTGGGTGATCACTGGTTTAATGTAGTCGGATACTTGTATGTGGATAAATGTTTGCTTGATACAAAACTATGAACATGTGAATGAGGTTAACATTTTAATATTAATGAACATGTGAAGTTTTATATTTGAAAAGTGAGAAATAAAAGTCAATTTTTCAGAAAAACAAAATGATGTGATTTTTATTTCAAATATATATAGCACTTTTTAGGTCACCTGAGACAAAGTCTCAAGTGACCTATTGCGATCGCCTTTTGTCCGTCGTCGTCCGTCGTGCGTCAGTAAACAATTTACATTTTCGACTTCTTCTCCAAAACCCCTGAACCAATTTCAATGAAATTTTGCAGGGACCTTCCATGGACAAAGGTCAACAAAAATAGTTGCCGGTTTAGTCCTAAGCCCCCAGGGGCCTGAGGGGCGGGGCCAAAAAGGGTC